TATCTACTCAAAATGCAAACCCAAAGGAGGAGTCTGCTGCTTGATATGGGTAAAAGCCATCCAAGTATTTGCTATGCCTAAAGGATTTTGTTCCCTCTTTCTCTCAGATATGTTCTTATGAAGTTATACCTCCTTTTTCACTAAATAACCCAACGCTCGAAAATTGCGTCCTTGTTCAGCATGTCCAACCAGGGATGGCCGAGTGGTTAAGGCGTTGGTCTCAAGATCCAATGGACATTAGTCCTCGTGGGTTCAAACCCCACTCCTGGTAGGAAATAGGTGGAATACTGTCTGTTTGACTGTTGACTTGTCTAAAAAGGGCACGATAAATATGTTTATCTACTCAAATGCAAACCCAAAGGAGGAGTCTGCTGCTTGATATGGGTTCAATAGCCATCCAAGTATTTGCTATGCCTAAAGGGTTTTGTTCCCTCTTTCTCTCAGATATGTTCTTATGAAGCTATACCTCCTTTTTCATTGAGGTTACCTAATATAACTCAACGCTTCGAAAAGTGCGTCCTTGTTCAGGCATGTCCAACCAGGATGGCCGAGTGGTTAAGGCGTTGGTCTCAAGATCCAATGGACATTAGTCCCTCGTGGGTTCAAACCCCACTCCTGGTAGTAAATAGGTGGAATACTGTCAAGAAACGGGTGAAAGCATCCCCCAGTATTTGCTATGCCTAGCGGGTTTTTGTGCACTCTATTCGCCATTCTCGTAGCTTTCTCTCAGATATGTTCTTATGAAGTTTATACCTGCTTTTTCACTAAATAACCCAACGCTCGAAAATTGCGTCCTTGTTCAGCATTTCCAACCAGGATGGCCGAGTGGTTAAGGCGTTGGACTTAAGATCCAATGGACATTAGTCCTCGTGGGTTCAAACTCCACTCCTGGTAGGAAATAGGTGTAAAACAATCTGTGTGGCTGTAAAATTGCTTAAATAAGGGCAAGATAAGTTTGTTTGTCCACTCAAAGGAGGAGTATATGGCTTGAAACGGGTGAAAGCGTCCCCCAGTATTTGCTATGCCTAGCGGGTTTTTGTGCACTCTATTCGCCATTCTCGTAGCTTTCTCTCAGATATGTTCTCATACGTGCTTTTTCACTAAATAACCCAACACTCGAAAATTGCGTCCTTGTTCAGCAGGTCCAACCAGGATGGCCGAGTGGTTAAGGCGTTGGACTTAAGATCCAATGGACATTAGTCCTCGTGGGTTCAAACCCCACTCCTGGTAGGAAATAGGTGGAATACTGTCTGTTTAACTGTTGACTTGTCTAAAAATGGGCACGATAAATATGTTTATCTACTCAAAATGCAAACCCAAAGGAGGAGTCTGCTGCTTGATATGGGTCAAAGCCATCCAAGTATTTGCTATGCCTAAAGGGTTTTGTTCCCTCTTTCTCTCAGATATGTTCTTATGAAGTTATACCTAATTTTTCATTGAGGTTACCTAAATAACTCAACGCTCGAAAATTGCGTCCTTGTTCAGCATGTCCAACCAGGATGGCCGAGTGGTTAAGGCGTTGGACTTAAGATCCAATGGACATTAGTCCTCGTGGGTTCAAACCCCACTCCTGGTAGGAAATAGGTGTAAAACAATCTGTTTGGCTGTAAAATTGCTTAAATAAGGGCAAGATAAGTTTGTTTGTCAAGAAACGGGTGAAAGCATCCCCCAGTATTTGCTATGCCTAGCGGGTTTTTGTGCACTCTATTCGCCATTCTCTTAGCTTTCTCTCAGATATGTTCTTATGAAGTTATACCTCCTTTTTCATTGAGGTTACCTAAATAAACCAACGCTTGAAAATTGCGTCCTTGCTCAGCATGTCCAACCAGGATGGCCGAGTGGTTAAGGCGTTGGTCTCAAGATCCAATGGACGTTAGTCCTCGTGGGTTCAAACCCCACTCCTGGTAGGAAATAGGTGGAATACTGTCTGTTGGACTGTTGAATTGCCTAAAAAGGGGCACGATAAATATGTTTATCTACTCAAAATGCAAACCCAAAGGAGGAGTCTGCTGCTTGATATGGGTCAAAGCCATCCAAATATTTGCTATGCCTGAAGGGCTTTGTTCACTCTTTCTCTCAGATATGTCCTTATGAAGTTATACCTCCTTTTTCATTGAGGTTACCTAAATAACCCAACGCTCGAAAATTGCGTCCTTGTTCAACATGTCCAACCAGGATGGCCGAGTGGTTAAGGCGTTGGACTTAAGATCCAATGGACATTAGTCCTCGTGGGTTCAAACCCCACTCCTGGTAGTAAATAGGTGGAATACTGTCAAGAAACGGGTGAAAGCATCCCCCAGTATTTGCTATGCCTAGCGGGTTTTTGTGCACTCTATTCGCCATTCTCGTAGCTTTCTCTCAGATATGTTCTCATGAAGTTATACGTGCTTTTTCACTAAATAACCCAACGCTCGAAAATTGCGTCCTTGTTCAGCAGGTCCAACCAGGATGGCCGAGTGGTTAAGGCGTTGGACTTAAGATCCAATGGACATTAGTCCTCGTGGGTTCAAACCCCACTCCTGGTAGTAAATAGGTGGAATACTGTCAAGAAACGGGTGAAAGCATCCCCCAGTATTTGCTATGCCTAGCGGGTTTTTGTGCACTCTATTCGCCATTCTCGTAGCTTTCTCTCAGATATGTTCTTATGAAGTTATACCTGCTTTTTCTCTAAATAACCCAACGCTCGAAAATTGCGTCCTTGTTCAGCATTTCCAACCAGGATGGCCGAGTGGTTAAGGCGTTGGTCTCAAGATCCAATGGACATTAGTCCTTGTGGGTTCAAACCCCACTCCTGGTAGGAAATAGGTGGAATACTGTCTGTTTGACTGTTGACTTGTCTAAAAAAGGGCACGATAAATATGTTTATCTACTCAAAATGCAAACCCAAAGGAGGAGTCTGCTGCTTGATATGGGTTTTAGCCATCCAAGTATTTGCTATGCCTAAAGGGTTTTGTTCCCTCTTTCTCTCAGATATGTTCTTATGAAGTTATACCTCTTTTTTCATTGAGGTTACCTCAATAACTCAACGCTCGAAAATTGCGTCCTTGTTCAGCATGTCCAACCAGGATGGCCGAGTGGTTAAGGCGTTGGACTCAAGATCCAATGGACATAAGTCCTCGTGGGTTCAAACCCCACTCCTGGTAGGAAATAGGTGGAATACTGTCTGTTTGACTGTTGACTTGTCTAAAAATGGGCACGATAAATATGTTTATCTACTCAAAATGCAAACCCAAAGGAGGAGTCTGCTGCTTGATATGGGTCAAAGCCATCCAAGTATTTGCTATGCCTAAAGGGTTTTGTTCCCTCTTTCTCTCAGATATGTTCTTATGAAGTTATACCTAATTTTTCATTGAGGTTACCTAAATAACTCAACGCTCGAAAATTGCGTCCTTGTTCAGCATGTCCAACCAGGATGGCCGAGTGGTTAAGGCGTTGGACTTAAGATCCAATGGACATTAGTCCTCGTGGGTTCAAACCCCACTCCTGGTAGGAAATAGGTGTAAAACAATCTGTGTGGCTCGTAAAATTGCTTAAATAAGGGCAAGATAAGTTTGTTTGTCCACTCAAAGGAGGAGTATATGGCTTGAAACGGGTGAAAGCGTCCCCCAGTATTTGCTATGCCTAGCGGGTTTTTGTGCACTCTATTCGCCATTCTCGTAGCTTTCTCTCAGATATGTCTCAGATATGTTCTTATGAAGTTATACCTGCTTTTTCACTAAATAACCCAACGCTCGAAAATTGCGTCCTTGTTCAGCATGTCCAACCAGGATGGCCGAGTGGTTAAGGCGTTGGTCTCAAGATCCAATGGACATTAGTCCTCGTGGGTTCAAACCCCACTCCTGGTAGGAAATAGGTGGAATACTGTCTGTTTGACTCTTGACTTGTCTAAAAAAGGGCACGATAAATATGTTTATCTACTCAAAATGCAAACCCAAAGGAGGAGTCTGCTACTTGATATGGGTCAAAGCCATCCAAGTATTTGCTATGCCTAAAGGGTTTTGTTCCCTCTTTCTCTCAGATATGTTCTTATGAAGTTATACCTCTTTTTTCATTGAGGTTACCTAAATAACTCAACGCTCGAAAATTGCGTCCTTGTTCAGCATGTCCAACCAGGATGGCCGAGTGGTTAAGGCGTTGGACTCAAGATCCAATGGACATTAGTCCTCGTGGGTTCAAACCCCACTCCTGGTAGGAAATAGGTGGAATACTGTCTGTTTGACTGTTGACTTGTCTAAAAAAGGGTATGATAAATATGTTTATCTACTCAAAATGCAAACCCAAAGGAGGAGTCTGCTGCTTGATATGGGTTATAGCCATCCAAGTATTTGCTATGCCTAAAGGGTTTTGTTCCCTCTTTCTCTCAGATATGTTCTTATGAAGCTATACCTCCTTTTTCATTGAGGTTACCTAAATAACCCAACGCTCAAAAATTGCGTCCTTGTTCAGCATGTCCAACCAGGATGGCCGAGTGGTTAAGGCGTTGGACTTAAGATCCAATGGACATTAGTCCTCGTGGGTTCAAACCCCACTCCTGGTAGTAAATAGGTGGAATACTGTCAAGAAACGGGTGAAAGCATCGCCCAGTATTTGCTATGCCTAGCGGGTTTTTGTGCACTCTATTCGCCATTCTCGTAGCTTTCTCTCAGATATGTTCTCATGAAGTTATACGTGCTTTTTCACTAAATAACCCAACGCTCGAAAATTGCGTCCTTGTTCAACATGTCCAACCAGGATGGCCGAGTGGTTAAGGCGTTGGACTCAAGATCCAATGGACATTAGTCCTCAGTGGGTTCAAACCCCACTCCTGGTAGGAAATAGGTGGAATACTGTCAAGAAACGGGTGAAAGCATCCCCCAGTATTTGCTATGCCTAGCGGGTTTTTGTGCACTCTATTCGCCATTCTCGTAGCTTTCTCTCAGATATGTTCTTATGAAGTTATACCTGCTTTTTCACTAAATAACCCAACGCTCGAAAGATTGCGTCCTTGTTCAGCAGGTCCAACCAGGATGGCCGAGTGGTTAAGGCGTTGGTACTCAAGATCCAATGGACATTAGTCCTCGTGGGTTCAAACCCCACTCCTGGTAGGAAAATAGGTGGAATACTGTCTGTTGGACTGTTGAAATTGCCTATATAAGGGCAAGATAAGTTTGTTTGTCCACTCAAAGGAGGAGTATATGGCTTGAAACGGGTGAAAGCGTCCCCCAGTATTTGCTATGCCTAGTGGGTTTTTGTGCACTCTATTCGCCATTCTCGTAGCTTTCTCTCAGATATGTTCTTATGAAGTTATACCTGCTTTTTCACTAAATATCCCAACGCTCGAAAATTTGCGTCCTTGTTCAGCATGTCCGACAAGGATGGCCGAGTGGTTAAGGCGTTGGTCTCAAGATCCAATGGACATTAGTCCTCGTGGGTTCAAACCCCACCCCTGGTAGGAAATAGGTGGAATACTGTCTGTTTGACTGTTGACTTGTCTAAAAAAGGGCACGATAAATATCTTTATCTACTCAAAATGCAAACCCAAAGTAGGAGTCTGCTGCTTGATATGGGTCAAACCCATCCAAGTATTTGCTATGCCTAAAGGGTTTTGTTCCCTCTTTCTCTCAGATATGTTCTTATGAAGTTATACCTAATTTTTCATTGAGGTTACCTAAATAACTCAACGCTCGAAAATTGCGTCCTTGTTCAGCATGTCCAACCAGGATGGCCGAGTGGTTAAGGCGTTGGACTTAAGATCCAATGGACATTAGTCTTCGTGGGTTCAAACCCCACTCCTGGTAGGAAATAGGTGTAAAACAATCTGTTTGGCTGTAAAATTGCTTAAATAAGGGCAAGATAAGTTTGTTTGTCCACTCAAAGGAGGAGTATATGGCTTGAAATGGGTGAAAGCGTCCCCCAGTATTTGCTATGCCTAGCGGGTTTTTGTGCACTCTATTCGCCATTCTCGTAGCTTTCTCTCAGATATGTTCTTATGAAGTTATACCTGCTTTTTCACTAAATAACCCAACGCTCGAAAAGTGCGTCCTTGTTCAGGATGTCCAACCAGGATGGCCGAGTGGTTAAGGCATTGGTCTCAAGATCCAATGGACATTAGTCCTCGTGGGTTCAAACCCCACTCCTGGTAGTAAATAGGTGGAATACTGTCAAGAAACGGGTGAAAGCATCCCCCAGTATTTGCTATGCCTAGCGGGTTTTTGTGCACTCTATTCGCCATTCTCGTAGCTTTCTCTCAGATATGTTCTTATGAAGTTATACCTGCTTTTTCACTAAATAACCCAACGCTCGAAAATTGCGTCCTTGTTCAGCATTTCCAACCAGGATGGCCGAGTGGTTAAGGCGTTGGTCTCAAGATCCAATGGACATTAGTCCTCGTGGGTTCAAACCCCACTCCTGGTAGGAAATAGGTGTAAAACAATCTGTTTGGCTGTAAAATTGCTTAAATAAGGGCAAGATAAGTTTGTTTGTCCACTCAAAGGAGGAGTATATGGCTTGAAACGGGTGAAAGCGTCCCCCAGTATTTGCTATGCCTAGCGGGTTTTTGTGCACTCTATTCGCCATTCTCGTAGCTTTCTCTCAGATATGTCTCAGATATGTTCTTATGAAGTTATACCTGCTTTTTCACTAAATAACCCAATGCTCGAAAATTGCGTCCTTGTTCAGCCTGTCCGACCAGGATGGCCGAGTGGTTAAGGCGTTGGACTTAAGATCCAATGGACATTAGTCCTCGTGGGTTCAAACCCCACTCCTGGTAGTAAATAGGTGGAATACTGTCAAGAAACGGGTGAAAGCATCCCCCAGTATTTGCTATGCCTAGCGGGTTTGTGTGCACTCTATTCGCCATTCTCGTAGCTTTCTCTCAGATATGTTCTTATGAAGTTATACCTGCTTTTTCACTAAATAACCCAACGCTCGAAAATTGCGTCCTTGTTCAGCATTTCCAACCAGGATGGCCGAGTGGTTAAGGCGTTGGTCTCAAGATCCAATGGACATTAGTCCTCGTGGGTTCAAACCCCACTCCTGGTAGGAAATAGGTGGAATACTGTCTGTTTGACTGTTGACTTGTCTAAAAAAGGGCACGATAAATATGTTTATCTACTCAAAATGCAAACCCAAAGGAGGAGTCTGCTGCTTGATATGGGTTATAGCCATCCAAGTATTTGCTATGCCTAAAGGGTTTTGTTCCCTCTTTCTCTCAGATATGTTCTTATGAAGCTATACCTCCTTTTTCATTGAGGTTACCTAAATAACTCAACGCTCGAAAAGTGCGTCCTTGTTCAGGATGTCCAACCAGGATGGCCGAGTGGTTAAGGCGTTGGTCTCAAGATCCAATGGACATTAGTCCTCGTGGGTTCAAACCCCACTCCTGGTAGGAAAAAGGTGTGAAACAATCATGTTGGTGGTAAAATTGCTTAAATAAGTGCAAGATAAGTCTGTTTGTCCACTCAAAGGAGGAGTATATGGCTTGAAACGGGTGAAAGCATCCCCTAGTATTTGCTATGCCTAGCCGGTTTTTGTGCACTCTACTCGCCATTCTCGTAGCTTTCTCTCAGATATGTTCTCATGAAGTTATACGTGCTTTTTCACTAAATAACCCAACGCTCGAAAACTGCGTCCTTGTTCAGCATGTCCAACAAGGATGGCCGAGTGGTTAAGGCGTTGGACTTAAGATCCAATGGACATTAGTCCTTGTGGGTTCAAACCCCACTCCTGGTAGTAAATAGGTGGAATACTGTCAAGAAACGGGTGAAAGCATCCCCCAGTATTTGCTATGCCTAGGGGGTTTTTGTGCACTCTATTCGCCATTCTCGTAGCTTTCTCTCAGATATGTTCTTATGAAGTTATACCTACTTTTCCACTAAATAACCCAATGCTCGAAAATTGCGTCCTTGTTCAGCATGTCCAACCAGGATGGCCGAGTGGTTAAGGCGTTGGTCTCAAGATCCAATGGACATTAGTCCTCTTGGGTTCAAACCCCACTCCTGGTAGGAAATAGGTGGAATACTGTCTGTTTGACTGTTGACTTGTCTAAAATGGGCACGATAAATATGTTTATCTACTCAAAATGCAAACCCAAAGGAGGAGTCTGCTGCTTGATATGGGTCAAAGCCATCCAAGTATTTGCTATGCCTAAAGGGTTTTGTTCCCTCTTTCTCTCAGATATGTTCTTATGAAGTTATACCTCTTTTTTCATTGAGGTTACCTCAATAACTCAACGCTCGAAAATTGCGTCCTTGTTCAGCATGTCCAACCAGGATGGCCGAGTGGTTAAGGCGTTGGACTCAAGATCCAATGGACGTTAGTCCTCGTGGGTTCAAACCCCACTCCTGGTAGGAAATAGGTGGAATACTGTCTGTTTGACTGTTGACTTGTCTAAAAAAGGTCACGATAAATATGTTTATCTACTCAAAATGCAAACCCAAAGGAGGAGTCTGCTGCTTGATATGGGTCAAAGCCATCCAAGTATTTGCTATGCCTAAAGGGTTTTGTTCCCTCTTTCTCTCAGATATGTTCTTATGAAGTTATACCTCTTTTTTCATTGAGGTTACCTAAATAACTCAACGCTCGAAAATTGCGTCCTTGTTCAGCATGTCCAACCAGGATGGCCGAGTGGTTAAGGCGTTGGACTTAAGATCCAATGGACATTAGTCCTCGTGGGTTCAAACCCCACTCCTGGTAGGAAATAGGTGTAAAACAATCTGTTTGGCTGTAAAATTGCTTAAATAAGGGCAAGATAAGTTTGTTTGTCCACTCAAAGGAGGAGTATATGGCTTGAAACGGGTGAAAGCGTCCCCCAGTATTTGCTATGCCTAGCGGGTTTTTGTGCACTCTATTCGCCATTCTCGTAGCTTTCTCTCAGATATGTTCTTATGAAGTTATACCTGCTTTTTCACTAAATAACCCAACGCTCGAAAATTGCGTCCTTGTTCAGCATGTCCAACCAGGATGGCCGAGTGGTTAAGGCGTTGGTCTCAAGATCCAATGGACATTAGTCCTCGTGGGTTCAAACCCCACTCCTGGTAGGAAATAGGTGGAATACTGTCTGTTTGACTGTTGACTTGTCTAAAAAGGGCACGATAAATATGTTTATCTACTCAAAATGCAAACCCAAAGGAGGAGTCTGCTACTTGATATGGGTCAAAGCCATCCAAGTATTTGCTATGCCTAAAGGGTTTTGTTCCCTCTTTCTCTCAGATATGTTCTTATGAAGCTATACCTCCTTTTTCATTGAGGTTACCTAAATAACTCAACGCTCGAAAATTGCGTCCTTGTTCAGCATGTCCAACCAGGATGGCCGAGTGGTTAAGGCGTTGGTCTCAAGATCCAATGGACATTAGTCCTCGTGGGTTCAAACCCCACTCCTGGTAGGAAATAGGTGGAATACTGTCTGTTTGACTGTTGACTTGTCTAAAAATGGGCACGATAAATATGTTTATCTACTCAAAATGCAAACCCAAAGGAGGAGTCTGCTGCTTGATATGGGTCAAAGCCATCCAAGTATTTGCTATGCCTAAAGGGTTTTGTTCCCTCTTTCTCTCAGATATGGTCTTATGAAGTTATACCTCCTTTTTAATTGAGGTTACCTAAATAACTCAACGCTTCGAAAATTGCGTCCTTGTTCAGGATGTCCAACCAGGATGGCCGAGTGGTTAAGGCGTTGGTCTCAAGATCCAATGGACATTAGTCCTCGTGGGTTCAAACCCCACTCCTGGTAGTAAATAGGTGGAATACTGTCAAGAAACGGGTGAAAGCATCCCCCAGTATTTGCTATGCCTAGCGGGTTTTTGTGCACTCTATTCGCCATTCTCGTAGCTTTCTCTCAGATATGTTCTTATGAAGTTATACCTGCTTTTTCACTAAATAACCCAACGCTCGAAAATTGCGTCCTTGTTCAGCATTTCCAACCAGGATGGCCGAGTGGTTAAGGCGTTGGACTTAAGATCCAATGGACATTAGTCCTCGTGGGTTCAAACTCCACTCCTGGTAGGAAATAGGTGTAAAACAATCTGTGTGGCTGTAAAATTGCTTAAATAAGGGCAAGATAAGTTTGTTTGTCCACTCAAAGGAGGAGTATATGGCTTGAAACGGG